TCCTATCGGCAATGAACCAAGATCGTGGCTATAAGCATCACATTTTTATCATCATTTTATATCTAAAGAAAGGAAATAATATTTCAAAAAAGTATATTAACGATGTATATAAATCAAGACGCGTTAGAAATAACACTTGGCAAAGAATATTTAACTATATTCTATTGCAATTTGATGCAAGACATTAAAGTGAATAACACTTATTAATTGAATTAGATACAGCAGGGCTAAGCAATGAATTAAACTGCATCATACAGCTGTTTCGTCCTTCTAGGAATCGTCAGTCATGCGAAAGGCCTACATTTTGAACCTTATGAGGCGACTGAGGAAAATACGAAAGGATCGAAAGAAAGGTCAAAATCTAGACAGGTTATTGCAGCTGCCCCATAATATGATAATATCATAATGTTTGATATACCTGATAATTTAAGAGCAACGTCAAGTAAATGCGTATTTTCTGAACTGTGCCACTATTTGTGTAATTTGAAACATGGCGTACAAGATACGATAACCTTCTGGGACTGAAATTCCACCATCACTGTCTACCACCTGCAATGTCAAACATTAAACAATATACGTGCAAGTAAATTTCACCTTTTATTACAAATTAAGTGTTAGATTGTTGATGTTGATTACGAGTGGTACGCCATACTAAACGTTGCATAACCATCTTGCGCAGGGCATTTTATAATAGGGGAAATAAACCTGTCATAGCTAAAGTTTGCATAACTCTAGTATTTGTGCCTTTCTGAGATATTAATACAAATAAACTTGTCTTTGAGGTATTAATTTAATACGACCTATGCTTCATCAACCTGAATGCCTAATTTTGATTAACTCAATAATAGAGGCTTAATTTAGAGTAATCACATATTCGTGATTTTTCAGAAATGATTAAATATCACATCTACACGCATCTGATACTTTTAAAATGAATAAATACTAGTCGATGTGCAAATCTCTTTTCCAGTACGACTGGTCAGTTAGATCAGCAGGTGATGTTAGAATCTACACTAATTCATTTATGTACGCCTATACCCATTCAGTATTTGAAGTTTTCAAAAGAGGCATTTCAAATGAAAGCAAATAAAATTGAATACACAAAAACTGCAAAAGTTGCATTTTAGCAATTTTGCGAAAATATCCCGATATACAGTATCCGCTTTCTAAGTCTTTACAAAAGTCATTTAAGAGGGGTTGTCATTTCGAAGATTAATCAAAATCATGAAAAATCGTTATGATAGAAACGAAATATCTTGTTTTAAATCATTTGATTTGAATTCAAGACTGCTACAATCCATGTTGTACTGCGAAAATTTGAACCATCGAGAAAACAGCATCTGCAATAGAGTTTATAGTGTTATAACTAGCGATGTGAAAAGAGAAGAAAAACAACAAAACAAATTTTCAGACAGATTTTTATATCTTTAAGTATAACAACAACATCAAGTTATCTTCATGACAAATGATGTTGCAAAAGATTTCCTCTCTAAATGAAAATGTCATAAAAATATACCATTTACCAATATATTTCTTAGATTCAAGAATAACATCAATTTTGTAATGCATTGAAAAGTATTCTCATTGCTCTTACTTTGTTTGTTTAGATATGATCAGTTGTCAATTAAAAAGTACACATATTTTAAATAAAAAATATAACATTGATAAACCTTTCCTCTATTTAACACAATTCGGGATTTTTCTGGCACAAATTTAGACAGTGCCATACACATTGCCTAGTGTTGAATTGAAATACAAAAAAGGTGAAATATCCATTTCACAATGTGCATGTTTCATTTTTTATATTATAAAATGTAAATGTAATGATGATTTTGCGTTAATTGTTTTTTACCTTAACTAAAAATGATGTTTTCAATGCTATGACATAAATTTGTATCACACATCATTGCACTAAAAGGTAGACAAACGCATATGGTAGTTCTAACCTATTAAATAAAACGTATGCTCAGCATTTTTCATCACACGTGAAGTCATACGTATACACGAGGATATAACAGTGATTAAAATGAAAAAAAATACACTTAACACATATTAAGACCCTTTCATTATAATTAATTATTAACACATCAATTAACTTGAACCTTTCCGATAAAATGATGAATCAGTAAAACAGGAAAGCGAAAACTCAAAGAACACTACTACAAAACTATGTCCGTTTACAATTTACAAATATCACTAAATCATAGAAATTATTACGTAAATGAAGAAACGAAAAGATTGACACGGAAAAAATAGGAAGTGGAAGTACATGAAATTACAAGCAGTTGCTTCAGTAGAATACCATCTACAGACAGAAAAATATATTAGAGCTGCTCGGTAAATACAATGTATATTCAACCGAATGACAGTACGATGAAATCTAAAACTTTTTTGTTTCTCGTGGTTAATGTTCAATTATCGATTCAAACTTAAACTGTAATTAAAACATAACACAGAAGTACCTGTATATGTTCAAGCTAAGGTTTGTTTTAATGATAACAAAGGTTGTCAGTTTAAAGAGCTTTCACATTTCATATTTGTTGTACTTTTGAAGATGAAATAATTTCAGGAAAAACAGAACGTTTTAAGATAAAACAACATCTAAGTGATAAACCCAAAGTCTTTTTCATTAATTTTATTTAGAATATTTGGTTTTGACCTAATTTCTCGTAAAAGCATTCGAACCAAACAATCATAACAAGTCGGAATGTATTCATCACTGTTAACAGACGCCCGTTTGCATAACTATGCAGTTGTTGCATTTTTAGCCTATCCACGTTAGCTATTGAAACTTACGGCATTTATTGAATCAAGTGTACCTCTCCATCTATATTTCGACTAACTTGGATATCTCCCTAGTCGCCCCTGGATAATTGTACAAAAGACACACAAGTGAGTGTCATCTTTTTGCACACCCTCCGAGTTAGATACAAAAAGAGTCAAACAATGAACTAAACTGCATCATTCAGCTGATTCGTCCTTCTAGGACTCGTCAGTGATGTCAAGCGCCTAACGTTTGAACCCTTAGAGGCATAGTAATATACGACTGTATGCTAAGGAGCAACTCTTTCTCTTAGTAGTTTGAACAATATATAAAAAAACATCATGTAGTAAACTGGTTGTATAGGGGATGAGGTTAAGAAAATGCCTCTTATAAGAAAGTCTATAATTAGAAAATTCTGATACAAAACTGCTTGATGAATAAAAATGAGTATCTATTAAAAAGGATAATATCTTATGCTAATTCAACTGAATATATCAGTCTTCCCTATTTCCCAAATTACAATCAAAACTACATTACAAGACTAGAGAAACACATGTACTTGCAATGAATGGATTAATGAGCAGAATCCTTGTCCGTAGCAAGGTAAATCATATTTTTGCCAAGACACTAAGTAATAAAAATCAAATGTGTTCTACTTTTGAATCGTAAATGATGATTTTACATCTTTCATCATAACCTTGATATCTCATTGAGGAAATGTAATAAAATCCTATACAGGACAAATATTGTAACATAAGTAAAACTAACTTTACGAGGTTGTGTAAATCTTTCACTTTGTGTCATACCACACAGCTATGTTCATAATCAATGATAGATGATGCACAATGTTTACATACCTATGTCAATATCGTGAAAATATGTTAAAAATTCAGGCATATAAACTTTCAATTAAGTTTCCTTTCCTTGAAAGAAACAATAATAGAATATATCACAGACTTTTATCACAGTAAAGTATAGCTTAAGAGCCAAAGATACTTTAATTGTACATCTCATGCCCAGTACAAACAATTGATAAATATTCTATCTTAAGCCTTTTCCGACTGGTTTGTTTTAAGGTACAAAAAGTCGGACTACTGGAACACAAAACATATATGAAACATATCTATTTATGATTATATATTTAATTAACAATGACTAAATCAATATCGTACTATCTGTCGATCATCTGTTGGTGACATCAATATCAGTGCAAGATAGATATTTTCATCCCTCTTTGACACGACATTTAGAGCAGAATTGCGTTTCAATTATCCATCGTTTTTCTCTATATTTATTTACACTTTGTGTATGATACGGGAGAGCCATGTGAATGACGTGAATTTATACGGAGGGTCATTATGGTATAGCAACCCAGAACTGCTACCATGAGTTTTGTCCAAATTTGTAAATTGGCAAAGACGAAATATTAGAGTCTTTTTTTTCAGGTTTTATTGTCCTCACAACAGCCGGGGTTATATGAGAACTCGTATCTGAACGTCGTATCAGACAGAATATCTGTTTCGCTCATATTCAGTTTGAAATCCAATTTCTCAGCCCGCTCATCCTTTCTAACATTCGCTTTTTTACGCTCGGTGACAATGTAAAATAAACTGACCAATGAATACTCTATACGAATTACAACTTAACAGCATTGTTGGATGTTTTTGTCAGCATTTTCCTGTAAATAAATATTAAGAGAGATGTTGAATATTTTTGACAGTTTGACAATTTCCTACTGCACTACATTATCCAATAAAATCTTACTTACAAAATGACGTCATTTTTTTCATTTAATGTGAGGATAATACAAACAATTTGCCATTGAAAATGCTTGTTTCAGAGAAGATTAAAAGATTTTAAAAAAAATAGTTTTACATCATGTTACCCATGATGATATTTCCGCATAAAAATGCGAGTAGAAAATTGAAAAAAATGTATCTACTGAAGATGAAAGCGAGAAGAACATATTCTCATGGATTTCTGTAAACCAATACATGATATAACAATTTGAAAGCAATGCTGCTTGGATCTGAAAAATGATCTCCGAAGAGATGAAAGACTTAAAGATAATGCCAATGTTTTTAGACCTTGTGTTACCTCTACACATCTCTCTATCTTATATCCATATTAATGTCGCGTGTACGTATTTTGTTCTTTAAATGGTACACTTGATATCACAGAATATAACACTCTTCATACTTCTTTGTGATCGGAAATGATGCCAGTGAACCCATTATCACAAGTTACCCACCATCCATTGCTGTCGAACCATGTTACGATGTTGTTTAGGCTGCTCTATAATAACTGTATGCTGTGATTTCTTGGATGATTTTTGTTTCCCTGAACTTACTACAAGTTTCACATTTTGTTTTTGCGGAGGAATCACCTGTCTAGTTTTAGATCTGGAATCTAACGCTGTCACTTCTTTGCCTCGCGAGCTCTGGACATAATGCACGGCTGGGTCAGCTATATAGCCATTCACTCTCTTACGCGCATGTCCATCTTGAAGCACAACTCGCCCTCTTGAATCAACACGGGTAGGAGACATCGCTCGGCTTCTTGGATCAGCTGAGGTAGATCTCGGACTTGTCACATATCTTGGAGACATGTCACCTCCGTGAGCGCGTGACGAATGCGGCCTTGGGCCACCATTTTGAATGGTCATGTTATGATTCAAACCGTTCGAAGTCGAAGTTTTCGTTGCTTGATGTGAGTTAGCGGACTTTTGTTTGATATAATCCGCGAGCGTACCATTGGAGGCTTTTATCTTGGTCATCTCTGCGTTTTGAGGTCGATGATAACCTTTCATTCGACCCCTGGGTGCTGGCACGGGCACCATGCCATGGGGATAGGGATTAGAAGGGTCTTCAATATGATCCCAGTCAAATTCAGATTTTTCTTTCTTTAATTTTGTTTTAAAGTCTAAACTGTCACAAGAATCTCTAAAGTCTAAAGTTGTAGCTTGATTGGGATGACATTTTGATTTCTTTAATATACTTTGTCCCGGGACTTTTTGACGCTGTACAAGGGCAAAGTCTGTTGCGTTCCTGCCATCTAAAGTTACCCATTTATCGCCGTCATCTTTAACACCGTACACAGTGTCCATTTTCTCATGAAAACCATTTCTGGAATAACTTTGGCTCAGATCGTGTTCAATATCTACACATTCATCAGAAAACGCTACAGATTTCTTAATTTGAGAACTTCTAGCGCTGTTCGGGCGCTCAAACATAGCCACGTCGACTGGTTCGTCATCCAACATGACCTGATCTTGATGTTCAATTTCTACCTTGTCTGATAAACACTTTTGATCATCGTTCAAAACCACTTCCGGTATGTCACTTGGCTCCGGTTTTATGAACGGTTGGTGTACCACAACACTGACAAGAGTGTGATTACTTCGGCTGCTGTCTTTGACGACACTTTCCTCCGGTGGACTAATTTTAGTATAAGCTGGCGTGTCGTCATTCACTTGTGACGTACTAATTTCCACGTCATTTCCGGTTTTATGTACAGTTGAATCACTATCAAATTTAGCATGTGATGTGTCACTTTCGAGGTAAGACATTGCCTGCTTTGTGTTAATTTCCGCAGAGTCAACATTTGAAACTGGAATCAGTTCATCTTCGACTACTTTTGTATCAATAGTATATGTAGCCGATAGAGGTTCGTGTTCATAGTCAAGAGAACTTTTTATTTCACGTCTTGTTTCACTTTCCGTAAAGTTAGCACGCTGGCTATTTTTCTGTTTGCGTTCATGCACTGACTTTGGATTTGCATGCGAGGTACTTTTTGGTTTACGTTCGTCGGATTCTGACGGATTTGCACGTGGTAGCACTCTTTGTGGTCGTTCTTGAATTGAAGTTTCATTGCTTCGAGCAATAAATCCATTTCGTGTATTATCCTGATGAAATATGGTGTCCTCGTGAATTGCAAAGCCATTTGATTTCCGAACAACTGCATTACTTTTCGGTGAATCTTTTCGTTTTGTTGGGATCGGTGCAGTCTGTTTTGGTAAGTTTCCGTTTGTTTTCTCATTGGAATTTATATCTTTTTTCTTTCTAGGTTTTGGTTTAGGTTTGCTTTTACCGGAAATGACATTACTTTGTTTTGGTTCTGCTTGATGCGACCGGATGCCCTTGCTCCCTATATCATTTATGGCTGTGACGTATTTCCGGTCTGCGGTAACCCCAAGGTCACGACTTGGATAATTTCCACTGTTTCCATTGCTCCTTGCATATGGATTCGGTTGAGATTTATAAGAATCGTCTGGTCGAATGACTCGATACTGACCTGGAAGTCCATCGACTCGGCACACAGCGTAACTTTTATGGCGGCTGACTTTATGACCCATCTTTCAGCATCCGTCTATCTGTAAATATACACAAAATAACATGTTATTGATTCTAAAACATCAATTCCAAGACATATTGCTCTAGTCCTTCAAGAACTTAAACGTTGTTTTGATATAAATGGTTTCATTACATTCACGAACGAACAAACGAACGAACATATGTTTTAGTTCGCTTTGGTTAACCTTGCTTCAAATGCTCTTGAGATAGCGCTGATGTGTTTGTTAGAAAGCTAAGAATTATGATGGCAGAGGTTATTTGCCTCTGGAGATCAATATTTTATCCACAGGGCGACTTGTTTACATCAGCGCAGGATAAAACAGAAATGTTTTTCGCTAAACAAATTCTCTGCTGACGTATGTTATTCTTATCGGAATCAACACCGTGTCTTCTAGCCCTAGTTTATTTATTGGCAAATCGAATATTGATCAGAATGACAGCGACGCTTGATGCAATGTTATCGCAATGGGAGTTACAATTTACAAGTATTGTTATCCGGTTCTCCATAATTCCTGTTTTCTACAACAAATCAACTGAAAATAGGAGAATAATAAATCATACCATTTTAGAAAAAAAAACTAAAACAAAACAGACAAAAACCAAGAACGACTAAAAATATTGTAGACATTAGTCGATTTGGTGAACAATCATATGAAGTTGAAAAAATCTTCGACTCAAAATCACTGATCGACGTTTTTTTCCCGGTATGCTGTCTTTTTTTACCTGTTACCAGAATCTTACAACAAGAGAGTAGATGAAGAATTTCTGAGAATACAAACTCATAACACAGTCAATATTCTTGATTAGCATGAACAATAAAGATTATTTTCTAATAGGAAACAACATAATTTTCGTGTCGTGATTCAACCCATATCGCCTGTAAATATTTGTGTAGAATTGTACAAAGGGCAATGTATAAAAGGAAATGAAACCATATATCAAGAAATAATTCGCATCAATGTCTCTTAAAAATAAAAGAAATCGATGCCTACCGCTCTTGTCATAAAATACAGCACGCGAACGTGGTAGTTCTGTTTGTTTGTATAACGGGTGGCATGCCAGCCCCGTGAAGACCTGATGGCTCATCAATACTTAATTAGGCTATATTTTTGTTTTCTTGCTCTAAAACGTAGGTGTAATACGATGTAAGATATCTACCTTTTGTCCCTATGTTCATGTATCACGCACGCATTACAACTGTAATCGTAAGAATTAGGGCAAAATATTAAGGGGAAGTGAGGCTTAAAAAAATTAGAAAGTAAGTATGGATTATGTTTATCGGAGAGTGGCAGAAAGCAAGGGAGAGGAGATACGATCAATCTATACTTGTATTTTGTGTGTGAATTGCAGATTCATCAAAACAAAATTAAATAATGGAAGAGAAAATTTGTTGAATGTCCCAGATAAATACGGTTGTTCAAGTTAAAGACAGAAAGTAGACATAACGTAGCTATACAAAATTTCATTCACGTTATAGTGGATGGGAAAACAATATTCATAAAACATTTTTCTGAAGCAGTGAACAAAATACTTGTAGACAAAAAATTACGATTAATCTGGAAGGTATCACGAAGCGAGAAAGCCTTTATCAAAATAAGATTATAACTGAATTGTACCGCTTGGAGAGACGGCGTTTCGAAATCTTTTTCACGTCGTCACTTGTTGATCTTAACACAACAATTTCAGATCCAATGGAAAGTTTTCGTCTTTAGTGAGTGTCAAATAATTGTAATCGTGGTTTAATTCTAAACGTCAAAAGTTCAAGATTATAGTTACCCATTCAGTTGTCATCACTTTTTACGTAATTCGGACTATTACATACATCTTGTATAACATGTCGTTAAGAGAGTATTGCCCTATCGTTCAATGGAGAAAAACTTAATCAATTTATTTGTTATAAGTTATTAACGTGTTTTCTTTGTATAAACTAATTCGAGTAGATAATCTGTAGTTAATCCACTTTACCAGATTCCATAAATGTACACTTTTTAAACCAAATGGCCAGTATCCCATCTATACAAACGCAATGTTTCACCGTTTGGCCGGTGACCAGTAAAAACACCATTTGGCCTCTGAACAGTGAACTTGTATACAATAAAACATTGTACGGACATAGAACCTGGTCAATTACTTACATAGGACCTGGTCAATTACGTACATAGGACCTGGTCAATTACGGACATAGGACCTGGTCAATAACGTACATAGGACCTGGTCAATTACGGACATAGGACCTGGTCAATAACGTACATAGGACCTGGTCAATTACGTACATAGGACCTGGTCAATTACGGACATAGGACCTGGTCAATTACGTACATAGTACCTGATCAATTACGTATATAGTACCTGGTCAAAGTCTTTTATCGACCAGCTCGTTGACCATTGTCTGTATTTGACAATATAACATTTAAACTTTAAATATGTGAAATCACCATAAAAATCAAATATTTCTTAATATATTGTTTAAGTTTCTACTTAACAAATCTACATTGGAATGCACATTATAATGGTATATTTCGCGTCTCATTGGACAAAGTTATGTCGAATTGTCGTGATGATTTTCAAGACAGGTCAACATAATTTGACCAAAAGTCACGTTGTTGTGAAAATTTGACACGATGACCCAAAATACAAGGATGGCAGAGATATGGTTATCCACTTTAGATGTCAAACTCTTTCATTCGGGGTCTATCTAGACAAATCTATCAGAGCATCACACTAGGGTACCGAGTGACGGACGAAGACGACAACGACGAAAGAAACTTTTTTTATTTAAATATTTGATGATATTAAAACAAAATATCAATGACCGTTTAGTAAGAAATCTTTGTTTACTCTAAATGTTCAAATTTGATCAATTTTGCCATGTTGTATTGTATCT